AAAAAAAAACAAAAAAAAAGGAATCCTCCCCCCTTAAAAAAAAAAAAAGAGAGAAGAAAAAAAAAAGAAACCACTGAAGTCAGAAACTAACATTCTATTTGATGTCTTCATAAGTTCACTATCCAATGCAAGGAAACCACTGGAATCCTTGGCTGTCCCCATCCTCTGCCTTCACACTCTCTGGTTTCTGTCCCTGTCAAATAGCACCTGACCAAGGCTCTTATGATTCGACCTAACCAAACTAGAACAAGAAGTGTGTTAAACTCAACAAGAGAGGGGCACACTCAAGTGACAAAAGGAACTGTCATCCAGACTGAAAACACAGTTTCCTTTCCCTTTAGCGATCCATTCATTTCAGTGAGAATGTGGGGGCTAAACCAGGAGGAGGTTCTAGAGAGGAAGGGCCAAGAGTACACTTCTAAGATAAAGAGCCTGATTGTGCTGGGTAGTTTTATGTCAACTTGACACTAAATCTGAGAGATGGGAGCCTCAATTAAGAAAATGCCTCCCAAGATGAGTGGTGGTGGCATTTGCCTTTAATCCCAGCACTCGGGAGGCAGCGGCAGGTGGATCTCTGTGAGCTCAAGGCCAGCCTGGTCTACAAGAGCTAGTTCCAAAACAGGCTCCAAAGCTACAGAGAAACCCTGTCTCAAGAAACCAAAAAGGAAGGAAGGAAGGAAGGAGGGAGGGAGGGAGGGAGGGAGAGAGAGAGAGAGAGAGAGAGAGAGAGAGAGAGAGAGAGAGAGAGAGAGAAGAAAGCAAATGCTTCCCAAGATCTGGCTATAAGCAAGCCTGTGGGGCATTTCCTTAATTAGTGATTAATGGCCCACTGTAGGTGGTGCCATCCCTGGGCCTGGGTTCTATAAGAAAAGAGGCTAAGCAAGCCATGGGGAGCAAGTGAATAAGTAGAGTTCCTCCATGGCTCCTGCATCTTCTCCTGCCTCCAGGTTCCTGACCTGTTTGAGTTCCTGTCTTGACTTCCTTTGATGATGGCTGGTGATATGGAAATGTAAGCCACATAAATCCTTTCCTCTCCAACTTGCTTTTTGTTCACAGTGTTCACCACAGTAATAGAAACCCTAAGACACTTATATATATTTCTTCTAAATTTAAATGCTATCAAATCTTACGAACAATTATTAAAACGAATGCACCATTTATTTTAAAAAATACTGACTTATCTCAAAAAAGTATTTAAGATTTAATTGAATTATGATTAAAAAGGGCAAAGATTTTATGCTCATAAAACTTTTTAATCATTTAAGGTGCAAAAAATAAAAAAGCTAAACATATATATATTATTATATACCTCACCTCTTATGAAATAAAACAGGTTAAACAAATAAAATATTTGAATTATAAGACAAACCCAAAAATGTAATTAGCAAGAGAGATTTGTTTGTTAAAGAAATGTCAAGCCGGGCGGTGGTGGCGCACACCTTTAATCCCAGCACTCGGGAGGCAGAGGCAGGCGGATCTCTGTGAGTTCGAGGCCAGCCTGGTCTACAAAGGGAGTTCCAGGACAGGCTCCAAAGCTACAGAGAAACCCTGTCTCAAAAAACCAAAAAAAAAAAAAAAAAAAAAAGAAATGTCAATTCAAAAATATTGTATTGGGAAGCTAGGAAATGCTTTATAAGGCCATGTACCAGCTAGCTTTCATTGTCAATTCACCCACCCTATAAGCACCTGGAAGATTGTCTACATTGAGTGCGCCTATGGGCAAGTCTGTGGAAGACTATCTAATTAAACTAATTGAAATGTGAAGACCTGGCCCACTACAGGTGGCACCATTCCTTAGGCAGGGTTTTCTGAACTGTGCATGGGAAATCAAGCTCAGCCCAAGCAAGCAAGGAGCATGCACTCACTCACTTCCCCGCTGCCAACCACTGCCACCACGCCTGGTATTTAAGCCCTGTCTTGACTTCTCACGGTGATGGGCTGTAGCCAAGGCCTACAAGTCAAAATAAATCCCTTTCTCCCCTAAGTTGTTTTTCCTGGCAGTTTTTAACCATCACAACAGAAATGGAACTTATAGAAACCACACAAGCCAGGAAAGCTCACCTATTCTGCCGAAAGCATCCAGTGCTGTCTTCACGAGCTTCTCTCCTTCTTCAACCGAATCTGAGAAGAACAACGAGGACAAAACATCAATAGTTTTCCCACAAATCACTTTCTGTGGCTCAGGAAGTACGGCTAATACTATCACCAAACAGAATTAAACTCAAAAAAGGCACAAGCAATCAACACAGAGTCTAATATTACCAAAGAAATGTTTATGCCAGACAGTTCATTAACCAGCAAAATCGGGGTAGACTGGATGAATAAAAGATGCTTGCAAGAACTATAGCAATACTGCCCAATAAGACTGCTTATGGAAAACGGGAGGCAGCTGATCCAGCAAAGGCTGCTCACCACTTAGCACAGTAGACCGAGAAGCCTTTAAAAGAGTGCTAAGAAGAACAAAAGACGATGCCGTGGAGATATGCGAGATCTTTAGTTTAAACCAACCTGTAAGAACACAGCAATCTAAGTACCACAACCACTGATAAAATTACCTACATTAAAAGTTTAGAGATTTCTCACATACGATATAAAGTATGTTCTTGAAAGGCTTGGTAGATAGGTACTCTAGTTTCATAGTTACAGGGTAGTGCTGAGTTGCGTCTCAGAGATGACTAGCGTGAGCATGTTCATCAGCAGAAGGAAAGCTGAGAGGACACACTTGTCACATACCATTGCTGGGACAGTCTATGCCCGTCACATACCGTAACTGGCCACTGCCTTCCCACCTCTCCTTCTTACTTCTTCCACGACTTTGTCTGCGGCTGAGGAGCCTTTACCGACTCCCTTGAAGTCTCCGCCTAAGTCATTCACTGCAATGCAAAAACAAGCAAACAGTTCATTTTTCACATCTTCAAGTACATCAGATATAAAATCCAAATTATCGGTGTATCTCTTCAATCATCTGCCCACTTCCCCAGCTACCAAGTACAAGGTAAATGTGTGTGATTAAAAGAGGCCTCCTGGCTGGGATGCAGCTGTGCTGTGTGGTGCTCACCTCACGTGGGCAAGCCCAGATTCATCTCCAGCACCAAGAAAACAAAGTTTCCAACACAGATACGAACAGCAAATACTTAAACCCGGGCTCCGATCAGGAATTCTTTACTTTCACTATGTTTTTCCTCTTTGGGAATGGAAAGGGATATGACAACCCCTTTTGAGAAAAAATAAATAAATAAATAAAGGGGGGGATGAGTGAGGAAGGGGTGTGAAAAAAATCACTTCAGGAGTAAATATACAAGAAAACACTGCAGAGGTTTCAGGAAGCTTTAGAACAAACAAAGAAGTGGGCCTTGGAGTTTCTGACTCCCTGAAAGTTAAGTGAATAACAGAAGTTTTAGCATAAGTACTTATCCAGGCCAAAGTAACCGAGTACTAGGGACAGATGACAAACTCAACTACAAAGAATTAAACATAACATGCAAGCACTAATGATACGTACAGATCAACGCCAAGTAACCTAGAAAAGCAGAATTTAAGAAAAATATTTGGAGCATTTGGAGTAGATGGCTCCTGGAAGGGGGCTGTGGGGAAGGACTTGGTTTTCTTTAAAGGGCTGGCCACTGGGAGTCTGGCCATGCTCCATTGGGTATAGGGCCAATCCAAACTGGACTTTTCTTTTTCTCCTCCTCCTCTCCTTCTGGGAAAGGAGGTCACAAGGGAGGGTGGGAGGTCTGACCTGGGAGGGCTTGGGAAGCGAGTGTGATCAGGGTGCATGATGTGAAATTCCCAAATCATCAGGAAAAATACGATGTTTGCTGGGGGCAGAAAAGTATCTGTGGTGAAGACTGCATTGTGAACGTCATGTCTTTATGGCTGTCACATGATTTCAGCACAACCTAATACAGTACTAATTACCATGGTGTGAGGTTACATTCTACAATTATGTTTGCCAATATTGAGGGGTTTTTTTTTCTGAAGGAAAACATCCTTTTTAACTGAAGTGAGGTGATAAACGGAGGAGAGAGGGAAAAAAAAAGCAAACACCTAGCACACGAAAAACCGCCACAATAAATATGTTTTCAGTTCTTTTTTTCTTTTCTAAAAGAATGAGTTTTCCAAATTTAGGCAGGGATGTTTTCCTAATCTAGTAATATTACCAGTCTTGTTGAAAATGAAAACTCTCTGTAAAGACACAAATAATAAACAAACTTACACTGCCCTCGAGACATGGAAAGAGGGGTGATTATTCAAAATCTGAATTCTATTAATTGTTCATTTCCATGCAATTATTCAAATGACAGAAAAAACTACTTAAAAACAATCAAAATTTAGAGACAGGCAAGAGTTTTGATGACTCTTTTTAAATTAATTTTACATTTTTAATTAAAATATAATTACATTACTTCCCCTTTCCTTTCTTCCTTCTTTAAAAAATAAAATAAAATATCACAAGAACTTCTAAGACCAGATTGACAAATACAGCGTTTCAGAGTAATGAAACACTGCCCCCAAGTGGAGAAGTTAGAAAGTGCAATCAGACACAAACACTGAAGGTTGGATAATGCAGAGAAAAAGGACACTTTGCTAAAAGTACTGGAACAGTTAGTTACTCAATAGATCGCCACATTAGAAAACTAAACTATCAAATTTGCTCCGTTACCAGGTCTGAATCCTGCGACCTAGAAACACCCTATTCAAGTGCTGAATGGCTGGGAAAGCAATAATTTACAAGTTTATTTGTAATCAAATATGAAGAGCGTTGTCGGTACCCAAGCAATGTAGCAAGGCTGCCACTCCAATGCATGGTCAAAGTTCCAGATGCAATAGTAATACAGCAAGCAGTTTATATTTATGTAGGTCTCCCATCCTTTAACAGTTATAAACTGAGGCATTTAAGGTTCACAGTTCTTTAAAACTTCACAATAACTACTCCTGTGTTCAGTGATTAAAACAGTGTACACCGTATCTCAGACTAGTATAAGCAAAGGTTAGTCTAGAACCAGAACTTCTTGTTGTGCTCCTCAGTCACACCCAAGCTACTTGACCATAAAAAGAAGAATCATTTCTACTGAGAAAATCAAGCACGTTCACTTGAGGAAGACACAGAGAAAGGCTAAAACAGCCACTCCCCTCAGGTCAATGGCCTGCGCGGGTAGATCATGATAGCAGAGGATAGCATCCTCAGCTGGATCAACAACAAGTTTCTACAGTGTGATATGTTTGTCAGTTCTCCCTTTAAAAACCCCTTTCAGGAGCCCGGGTCCCAGCATGTGCTTGTAATCCTCACACACGGGAAACAGGAAAGAGGACCAACAGCTTCAGAGATGTCCTTCGCAACGCAGTTAATTCTAGACTAGCCTGGCTGCGGCAGATCCTATCTATAAAAAAAAAAAAAAAAAAAAAAAAGCCGGGCGGTGGTGGCGCACGCCTTTAATCCCAGCACTCGGGAGGCAGAGGCAGGTGGATCTCTGTGAGTTCGAGGCCAGCCTGGTCTACAAGAGCTAGTTCCAGGACAGGCTCCAAAGGCACAGAGAAACCCTGTCTCGAAAAACCAAAAAATAAAAAAAAAGAGTGAAGGCAAGACGATTAGGGGTTCAAGGGCAGACTAAGTAACCTGACAACAATACCTGTTTCAAAAGAGAGAAAAGAAAAATTAGCAAGGTATTACATATGTGTTGTGTATGTTATACATGTGTGTGTGATTTTTTTTTACATTCGAGAAAAACAGCTTCTACAAGGCATAGCCAGTAGTTGCTGAGGACCTTGCTGAGCTTCATCTAAAGCTACATAGCTGCCAGGGAACCGAGGGAAATCGGGGCTGGCTATCATATTGTTTCCAAAGTCTGATAGAAAGACAGTCCTGTGTCTTGGCTCAGGAAGAATCTTTTCTAGAATGGCTACAAATGTCTCTGAATGCATGAAGGGCTCAGAAGTGAAGAGCCACTCAGAAAGCAAAATCCTGAACTAGCTATCTGACTTGACCCTTGCTACTTGTGCTACTCAGAACAAACACTGCAGGCTAGGGAGCTACTAAACAGGATTCCCACCACCACCACCACCAGCAGCAGCAGTTCTAGTGACTAGAATGGCCAAGCCTCAAACTTATAGAGGACTGTTCTCTGTGGGGTTCCCTGCAGACTTTAGAGCAGGCAGGGAAAAAACTTCAGAGGAAGGTAAGAATGAACTCAGCTGGATTTTATTGTAACTGAGCTGGACCAGGACTTCTGAGAGTCTGGTCCAGATCATTTTCCTTTGGCCATACAATTTTGGAGAAAAGGTATTCGGATAACGATTAGTTCAGCCCCATGGGTACAGCAAAGCGTGCATTGAAGCTCTTCGCAAAATACATGTGGCTTCATCTGTAAGATGGCTACCTGCTGAAGTAGAGACAATGCTCTAAGTAAGGGTCTAGGGAGAACGACTGAGGTAAACACAATGCCTGTGGGAGTCATGACTGGCCTGGCCCTAAGATAACACTTAGGCTATAGTAAAGTACAAATGACATCTCTCATAAGGATGGGGTATAGGGCCTAAAGGCCTAAATCTCAAGATTTAGGGAGAATGGGCCTGGGATTAATAAAAACATAAATTCTGGGAGGTCCAGGTAGACCCTGCCTCATCAGACAGCAACAAGCACCAGTGGTAAATGCACCACCCCTGGCATTCCAGGGGAGCAGCTCCACACCTCATTCCACTGGAGAAGCAAACTGTGGGTGTAACTTCCCTGGCTCCTCTGGCACTTACCTGTGTGCACAAGGCCTTTCTGCCCCCTACAGTTCTCTATTTCCTTAATGGGGCCAGATGGGAAGAAGCCTGAGGCCTGAGGCCTACGACAAGAGGACTGGATGTCCGAGGGAGAGTTTCTGCAACCCTAGTCCCTTTAGATGTCCTCTCATCAGCGAGAACACAGCCTTTCTGACTTAATCCTCATCAAAGAGCCACACCTCGGCACAGCTGGGACTCAGTTTCAAGACCATCAGTCAAGCTTTAGCAATCCCTGTGATGGATTTGCCTCACCCAGGAGGCCAGCATTTCCTTAAAGGAGAAGGAAACTGGAAAAGAAAGATGAAGACCGATCCTTGGATCTCTTTTCCTGTTCATCTGTACCCAGTGCCTAATCAGCCCTGGCTTTAAATAGTACCTACACAGGGGCGACGCTCAGATCACATATCAGAGGAGGAGCAGCAGAGCAGCACCAGCTGACCTAATACTAAATCTAACATTCTGTTTTGTTTAGGAACTGAACTGTCAGAGACCGAGAGTGGATTTGTAATGGAGACTGGTCACTCAAGAGAATAAAGAGTTGAAGGCTATCCTTGACCAGTGATTGAATTCCAGGCCAGCCTGGGCTACATGTGGCAGTGAGAGAGAGAGAGAGAAAATAAAGAAAGGAAATAAGTTTTTCAACATAGACCTGGCCTCCATCTCCGAATGCTGCTCCCACTGCCTACTGCAAATCGAACAGAGATGTCTGCTGCCCGCCAGTCTGCTCCTCCGCCATTCTCCCCTGACTTGGGAAATGGACACATTTAGTTTTTTCAGATGCTCAACTCAAAAACCTAGAATCATCCTTAACTTTCCTTCCCCTTACATTGCACACATAACCATTCAACAAACCCCACCCTACCTACGATCAGAATACACCCAGAGTTCAACCTCCATTCCGACCATCCTTTCTAGACCACTAACACTTCCTGCATGGATTTATGGCATGCTTTTCATTACCAAAACCAATTTCCTAAAGCAAGCTATTTAGGTAGAAACAAGAGATTTAGGGGCTAGGGCTATTGCTTGATTAGCACAATGCTTGCTAGCATGCACAAAGCCCTGGGTTCTAGAGTACCTGTACCACAAACACCAGGCAAGAAGCCACACGTCTGTAATTTCAGCGTGTGGGAGTGGAGGCAGGAAGATCAGTGCAAGATCTTTGTTAACCTATGGGGTTCAAGGTCAGCCTGAGCCAAGTGGGAGATCTTGTCTCCAAGAAGGGAAAGAGATCCAGAGCTTGGGCTATAGCTCAGTCAGTAAATTACTTGCCTTGCAAGCATGAAGCCCTGAGTTTGATCCCCAGAATCCACAAAAAAGAACTGCGGATGGTGGTGCACTCAATCCCAGGGCTGGGGAAGCAGAGCCGGGAGGACAGCTGGAGCTTGCTAGCTAGGTAGCCTAACCAAGTGCTCTCCAAGCCCATAAGAACCAGCTCCTGATGAGTGGTACCTGAGGTTCACCTGTATGCACAGGGGAGGGAGGGAGGAGGGAGATATGCAACAGAGTTAACACCACATGACAATAGGTGGAACCCGCATTTCTCCCGCTCCCTGGCTCTTCTCTTTCCTCACAAAGTCAACAGATTTTATGAAGGCAGTGCACAGAAGGTTGGTTCACTGAAACCTAATCTCCTCCAAAGGTCCCACCTCAAAAACATCGAAACATCACTGTGAGACCAGACCTCACCATCTTACACACACACACACACACACACACACACACACAAAACCAACTGGGACTAAATTTTAGCACATGAAGCCTTGGAGAACACCCAAATCCTGTGCAGTGAATTACTGTAATAGGTTCTGGCTAGTCTCCTTGCTTATACTTGTTTATTTTCATTTTAAAAAAATTACAAAGTATATGCAAAACAACCAACCCATGTGCCCAGTCATCCTGCCCCTCCATTTCCTTTCCACTCTTGATCTAGTCCAAGATGAGCACCCAGAACAAAGCATTAGTCCCCTAACCAGGTCACTCGTGCTGCTGCTCCACGCCCACTCTGCAACCTTTCATCATTCGAGTCAGGTCAGAAGCCAACCGCTCTGTGTGTCCAGCCTCACACTAACTCTATGCTCTTGTCTCTGGCTTTTACTCCCTTCAGTGGCCCCACCAAGTCCAGCCACACTGACCCCCCTTGCTAACTTTAAAACACACCAAACCTGCCCCCAGCCTCAAGAGTATAATTTCAGAGCAGAGGAGATCGCTGGATGGCTAAGACCACACTGCCTATTCTTCCACAGGACCCAAGTTTGATTCCCAGCACCCATACATGTCAAGTTCCAGAACCCTCTGCAGCTGCAGTCCCTGAGGATAAGGTACACACATGGTGAATGAAACAGAAGCAGACAGAACACCCATAACACATATGATGAATGATTTTTCAATAAAGAGTGTGATTTTACTTTATCACTGTTAGAAAAGAAACACTCAGGATGCTTGCCTTACCCACCGCTCTCCGAACTTTTTCTCATCAACACAAGAACCAAGACCGCTGCTGTGGTGGTAGAGGCTGGAGGAAGACAAGGCCTCCCAATACCACCAAGGAAGTAAGATCTCAACTCAAGCTGGTGACAGGCTCATGTGGTGCCATGCCTGACGGCCCGAGTTTAATCCCTTAGATCCACCAGCATGGGGAAGGAGAGAACCAGCTCCTGAAGGCTGTTCTCAGACTTCCACACATGCACCACAGAACACACACATGCACACACTTTGACTTTTTAAAATTAATTCTTTTACAAGATTTCATGTTGAGTTATGAATTCAGTACAGCTCAGACACACAATGTGTACTTGATACTGAGGTGTAACTAACTCAGTGTTCCTATATCTTCTATGAAGGCCTTAAATTTTTCATACAAGTTACTCAGTTAATACTACAGATTGGGAAAGTAGGCACAAAGGGTTCGCAACTAAGCAGTAGATGGAGATTTCACCTGGTTTCAAGGTCAATCAGTGGATTTGCCTCGCGGACTGACTTTCCGTCTGTCGGGTCGCACAAGGGTGGGAACACTCTGACTGCAGCCCGCAGGGATTTAAGCTGTGGTTTAGCCACGGCTGTGTAAGTACAGCACAGAAAGAAGTCATGCCCATCTTAGTTCACAAGACTGTAGCTTGACTTGTCCACGATGCTACTTCCTCAGTTCAAGAGAACAAAACTCTCTGACTTGTCAACTGCAGTTCCTGCTAGAAGCCCTAACTCTGTCTTTTATGTTCATGCTCTCCAGTTAAAGCATAACTCAGAGACCTGGGTGCCGCTATCTCCTGCTCAGTTCCCTTCACCTGCCTCAGACGTGTGCAAAGTTTTACTAAAATGTGCCGCTTATACAAAACCAAATATGGGCTGTTAGAGTGGCAATCCCGTGCACTGGATTACAGCTAACATGGGGTTGATAGAAGGTTTAGGACAAAGCTTATATCTTAGTCAAACCAAAAGAAAATCTTACGCACAAATTTAAATATTCCACAATACTTTATATTGTGGAATATAAAGCACAGCATTTGTATTGTCATGAAATTAGAACATATCTTAAATGATGCCCTCAGCTTCAGGCACGGCTCAAGGGTTTGGTCACGGAAGTAAGAGTGGAAGAACCACAGCACTTGTGAGGCAGGGTTTCTGGAGCCAACCACCACAGAGCTCCAGCATGTCTTAGGGTTTCTACTGCCGTGATGAAACACCGTAACCAAAAGCAAGAAGGGAGGGGAAGGCTTTATTTAGCTTACACTTTCACAACCAAGTTCATCATCAAAGAAGTCAGCACAGGAACTCACCCTGGAGGGAACCCGGAGGCAGGAGCTGATGCAGAGGCCATGGAGGAGTGCTCCTCATCATGGCTTGCTCAGTCTGCTTGGTTTTTCTTGTTGTTGTTGTTGTTGTTTGTTTGTTTTGTTTGTTTGTTTTCAAGACAGCATTTCTCTGTAGCTTTGGAGCCTGTCCTAGAACTCACTGTGTAGACCAGGCTGGCCTCAAACTCACAGAGATCCACCTGTCTCTGCCTCCTGAGCGCTAGAAAATGCCCTACAGCCAGGTCTTAGGAGACATTTTCTTAATTAAGGGTCCCTCCTGTCAGATGACTTTAGCTTCTGACAAGTACAAAACTATCTAGCACACATCCTTATGTCCCCTCTGAGTAAGAGCTGATCTGCCATCTGGGATCACAGTACAGGAACAGCTGAATGGTCATAGAAGGATGGAGTATCCAACTATTCGAACAAGTCACTCTGATGTAAAACTGTGAACTCATTATAATCTAGCATAAGATGATTTAGATAGGAGACAAGCTACTCTGTTTCTTTAGGTCTTACACTTCTTAGGTCCTCTGAGCCAATGACGGGATGTACGACAAGTCTTCCAAGAACAAGATAGCCTGAATCCTAACAATGAACCAAAAGGTTATCAGTGTACAATGCAACACGGCACTGATTAGGGAGGAACAAAATGCCTTGGTGACCCATGAAGTTTCCAGAAAAGTCACAGATGAGGAAAGGTGAGTGGACATCAGAAAGGAACACTGTATCGAGCTTGGTGTGCTGCTGTGCACCTGCAATCCCAGCATTTGGGAAGTTGAGGCAGAAAGACTGCAAGGTGAATACCAGCCAGGGTTAGTAACAAATTCCAGGACAGACTTGGCTAACTGTCTCAAAACTTATGTGTAGTGTGTGTGTGTGTGTCTCTCTGTCTGTCTGTCTGTAGTTTCACAAAAACTGAATCCTGCGTGTGTGTGTCTGTCTGTCGCTTCAAAAAGACTGAATCCTGCCAGTTAACACCTAACTAAAACCATCTTTCTGCCACATTTAGCAAATATTTTAATTCTGCTTCCTTGAACTTTCACTAGGACTTATCGCAATAGCACAATAACCCCCCCCCCCCATAGGCAATAAGAGAACAAACAGACATACTGTCCTTGTATATCTGGTCTCTTTTTTGAAATCCAATACTCATCGTCTGAACTTAACATATTCAACGGTTATAGGAAAGCAAGAACTGACACCCACGCTTACATCACTGTAGTTTATTTCCTCTAATACTCTGAGAGGGAGCCTGACTGTAGAACCCAAGTCTGTCTGCTGTGAAATTATTTATGAAATAAGATTTGTGATGTGGGGGTGGGTGATGTCTGTGCAATTCTGTGTGCTTGGTCTGTTGTTCTGGGGGTTTGGGGCAGATTGTTTGCTTGTTTATTTCTTAATTTTACCAAGGGCTTCTCCTTTAATCTCTTGTCAAGAGATGAGCTTCTACCTCAAAACGTAACAGTCATTGGGATGGCTCAGTGGTTAAGAGAACCAACTGCTCTTCCAGAGGTTCAATTCTCAGCACCCACATGGCAGCTAACAACTGTCTGTAACTCTAAGTAAGATCTGACACCATCACACAGGCATACATACAGGCAAAACACCAATGCACATAAAATAAAAATGAGTATTTTTTAAAAAAGTTGCAGCCCATGAGACTAAAGCCAAGAGTCAATGCTTATACCTCTTTATCAATTCTTTTAAATGAGAAAGTCTATAAAAGTACTTTACTTTAGAAAGTGAGTTAAGCCAGGCATGACGGTGAAAATGTGTAATCTCAGCAAGCCAGGGCTTAAAATAAATAAATAAATATGCAACCTTTAAAAAGAAAAAAAATTAGCCTTAACTAAAAAATTCTCTGACAGAAGTAAAAACTATGACGTTAAACCACAATTAATTATGCACTAGGCGGAAAAAGGCACCTGTGAAAACTGTGTTTTTGCTGGCAGCTACTAATTTAAAAGACAACTTACCAACCACAAACGCTCCTCTTTCTGCAAAAGCCAGGGCATAAGCTCGGCCCAGTCCTAATCAGAAACAAAACAAAGAGAAAAAAAGTTGCAAAATATTAGCATAATTATTTTAGTCCATGAAACTTGATCTCCATCTTAAAATAACAAGTCAGCAATTGGTTACAATAGCAGGCATCTTCGTTGGTCCTCTCAACCCTCTTTCTGACTGCAAAAGACAGAAAGTTGGAGCCGCTTTTGCTGGCCTACTTTCCCTATCATTCCCTAGCATCCTCCGCGGTTGCTCAATGCCAAGTGTGAACTGGAGACCATCACAGTGGATTTTCGTGAAATTTTAAAAGTAGAAATGACAGCCGGGCGGTGTTGGTGCATGCCTTTAACCCCAGCACTCTGGGAGGCTGTAAGTTCAAGGCGAGCCTGGTCTACAGAGTGAGTTCTAAGACAGGTTCCAAAGCTACACAGATAAAACCTGTCTAAGGAGAATGAGAGAGAGAGAAAAAAAAAAAAAAAAAACAAAGGTAGAAATGACACAGATACCATATTACCAGGGCTCCAGCAAGTGCTGCTTAAGAAGCTGCTTCTCCTGAACCATCCTCGTATTTAAAAAACCCGAGCCTGAAGAGGTAACTTCTTGATCTGGTCTCCTAATCCTTGGGAAGCGGCTTCCATTACTTCAGGTCCCTGATGTCCTAGGCTACTTAGACTATGACAGAAATCCAGCGACAGATCAAAGGGATGACTTCCAAAACCCCACTTCAAACGCAAATGCTTCTGATGAATTCTTTACTGTTCTAAAACATCCAGTGATTTCTATAACCTGTGCTAAACCTTGAATATCCAACTGCCAACTTCAAATCATTTTAACTCCAAATATGAGAGACTAGCAAGCAGAGACGAGCTTTGGGGAACCAACCAGCGAGAAGATACTTGTCTGGCTTAAACGTCTTTAACTTTTTTTTTTTTCAATTTTAGTTGCTAAGTGGAGAAGCTTAGCAGGAAATTTATATTTGGAGTAAACTGATAAATACATATACAAATGAACCAAAATGGATAAATTAATCAGACTTTTCCCAGTGTTGGTGGCAGACATGGGTAATGACAGCCCCTGGGAGATGGAGGGAGGAAGCTGAGGAGTTTAAAGCCAGCTTGGGCTGGATGAGACCCCCACCTCTTTAATAACAACTGGTGCAAAAGAGCCCCTTTACCTAAAAGGGTGAGAGATCAAAGGTTTAAGTAGATGCACTACACATGGAGGTTAGAGGCCACTCACTGTTGTGAAACTAATGGAGAAATTTCACTGCAAAACATGTCTACGTGGAGTTGTTTAATTTCCTGTCCTTTAAACTTGGCATTGCTTCGATTACAATTCTCCTAAACTGAACTACAAGACTGCAGCTTTTCCACCGCCTGACTCACTTCAGAAATGCCTTCGCTCTCAAGTTCTCCTCTCCTCTCCTCTCCCATTATCCCTGTATCATCCCTCGCCCTTTGCGACCTTTGCCACAATTCAGGTGAACTTTGATATGTGGCCCTCTCAAGAATCTGAATCACAAGACAGAGGAAAACAAACACTAAACGACCGACTATTCAAAGTCAAGGGGCTGGCATCTCAATCTCTTGGGAGGAAAGCCGGGCCCAAAAAGTCTTTTTAAGCCCATGTGTGACTTGACAGAGGCCTAAGCGTCCAAAGGCAGCAAAACTCACAGTCCAGGCCCACACACGAGAGAGGACGAACTTTTACCCAGTTGTGCACCCGGCTACACTGCTGACATCTCCCCTGGGAAAGCCGTGGGCCTGGGATGCTCCATCCCGGCTGGGGACTCCGGAGCACCTGCCTGCATGGTCAATGTCCCGGTGCACCCGGTGCCCCTATGTGCTCGGCCCACCCGGGTCCCCCTCGATCCACCACCAGCTCCGCATCCTGCAGCTGCACGCCGCAGCCCTGCCATAGGGACAGTGGGCCCGGCGCGAGGCTCACCTCCCCCGGCGCCGGTGACCAGGACCACACGCCCGTCGAACCTCAGCGGCAGAGCCATGAGTCTAGCCGGCACCAAGCACACACTGGCAGTGCACCCGGGTACGCTCGGTGTGATCAGGACAGCGGGCAAGGAGAGGAGGGGCGGGACACCAGCAAGTCACCCGCCAGTTTCAGGAAGCAGACGCCTGTTTCCAAGTGGGCCTGCGTGAGGACGGCTTGGCATCATGGGAAATGTAGTCCAATACGATTCCTCTTAGAAAATTCGTCCAAGAGCTTCGGCTTGGAAATTCTTTTAGAAGGGGGCGCCGCCAAGATCTGTGCGGCGAAATGGCTGATTCCGTTCTCTTCTTGCATATATCTCCCTATAGCTTCACAACGTGTTCTGAGTTCAGCCACTGACCTAGATAAATAGTACTTGACTTCCGTTCTGGGGAGGCTTTTTGACATAGCCTCTAAAAAATACAATTATCCTTCACAGCACTGATCAAGACTTCTCAGAGTTTACCCCCTGGATCTACTATACGAAAATCATTCTGAAACTATCAAAACGTAGAATCCTGCACCCCCACCACCACCCTCCCCAAACAAAGTGGGACCCCTCCCCCGAAAAAAAATGAATTGCAGCTAAATGATTTTAGGATTTACATGTTGGGAACACCCATGCAGTGTTTTTTAATTATTTAAATTAATTATTTATTTAATTTGTTTAATTAATTATTTAATTAATTAAATTAATTATTCAACAAATTTTTTTGGGTTATCCTTTTCTTTCTTTCTTTATTTATTTATTAAATATTTCAGTCTCTTCCCC